ATATATCTCGTATATTAGTACGGATCACGAGTACTTCTTATTTCATTAGATGCCTAAATCACTAACCTGACTAGAACCACACACACTAAGTTAACTATAATAGGTATAGTTAAGGTCTCTATCCCTCGTTTTAACTACTACTCTACACTACTATAATTCGCTCTAATATGAAACTATACACTAATAAGAGAATACAATACGAGTTATACAAAAGACTACTCCACTATAATACAAGAGAAAGTACTAATCATGAGATAACTCATTTACCCACTACGAGATACTCTATTCGCTACACACTACGCCCGAAGTTTTTCGATAGGAAGATGACACTATATGTATAGATCTATACGGGGCAGACACTATTACATCCCGACTGATAATTTCAGTCCGAGCCGCACAGGTCCAGGGATGCCTTTACTCCACTACACTATACCTGACCGGGAGGGTCATGGGGGTCCGCTATTACTCACACTATTGGCAACATACAAGAAATATACTATAACCGTACTAAAACACTAAACAAAAGATAAAGTTAATATCCCGAAGTAAATAAGTACCTAATACTAAAGGAAGCTGCACCACTATTATTTACTTCAAGTATAACTTACTATATTGCTTTACTTATTGGTGAGTCACTATTATACTTCCACGATAAATGGTTTTCAAAGATGGAAATATCATATTTCTTAAAGGTTTTCACTTACTATACATTTCTGGAAAATATAGGATTTTCTAGGTTTTACTACTGCTTATGACTATAAACTTCAGCTTTCATACTAACGATTCTAATGCTTTTTATATAAGAACTCACACTAAACTCTTATGAACTCACCAACTTTATGCTGATATTCTTTTCAAAATAACTTGTATCTTCAGGTCAAAGATAGACAGGTACGACTGCAATATTTTTGGAGAAGATGGAGCATGCAAGTCCCATATCTTATTTTTGTTTACTTTTGGTGTTTGTTGAACATTACAAAACACACTTGTAAATATAATCACTATGTAAATGGAATGGTTGTATGTTCTTGCTTTTACTATTATGCAATTGTGATGATACCGTACACTACGTCATCCACCCCGAAATGTATTCCGCCGTTATCGGTTTTGGGGTGTGACACATTTTATAGATATAGACTAAGGTCATTTGGGGGGCAAAAACCACATTTTGGGGAGTTTACGGCCTTGGTATAGACTTGGGCCATAAACTCCTTTTTATCCTTCATTTTGATATGTTTAATTGATCCAAACCCCAAATACTAAGTCCCTAAATTATGTATGAAGCCTAAGGGTGGTTTGGGAGTGTTTTTGGGGCATTTTGAGAATGTTTTGAGGGGTTTACGGCCTAAGCTTATGATTGGGCCGTAAACTCTCTTTTACCCCCTAAATCCATGAGTTTTAATGTTTAAACACTCCTACACTAATACCTTAATTTATTTCCTAGCCATTAGGGACAAGTTCGGGTCGTTTTGGCCTCAATTTAGGTGTTTACGGCCTAAGGAGGAGCTTAGGCCGTAAACTCCTTATCCAATGCTTCTAAGTCCGATTTTTGGGCTATAAACATGAATCAATACATTTAGAATAAGCTAGGGTAAGCGGACTTACAATATGGAAGCGTTTGGTTGCGGATTCGGGGCGAAAACGGGTCTAGAGAGAGAGTATAGAGAGAGAGTGTAAAAAAAATCTCCAATAGACTCCACTCACCCTTATATAGGGTTTTGAGTCGGGGCTCAGTGGGATTTTACCTGATACTGCCGTTAAACGGGGCTTTTGGTCGCACCCGATTTAGTGGTCGTAATAATAAAACTTGACATTTTCCAAATAGATTGAAATGTGTGTCCTGTGTTTTTATTTCCTTTCATCACGACTTAACGGTATGCTTATTGTAACCAAATGGAATGTTTACTAAATTGACGCCCTCTAAGTAACGGAACTTTTATACAGTGGAATATTCCGTTAATGGTAACGGAGAAATGTAACGGGGCACTTGGGTTGTCACACTCGGCGAGTCCTGCAGTCAGAATGCAGAAAATTTGATTTTTTTTATTCGAAAACCAATAATAACATCAAATATAATAGAAAACAACCCATGGCTCTGATACCACTATTGAGTTTTGTATACTACAACATTCTATGATGCACATACAACCCTAAATGCCATCGATCTATGTTTTCTTTAATTATACATGTAATAGTGTTTCCAAATCATTAAGCCTATAACTAGCATGCATTTGACATAAACAATATAAAATATTAGTTAGGTTAACATACATTTTGTTGTAGCTTAAAACCTTGTAATATTTGGCCTTAAGAGCTTAGCACCAAAAGTATGAATGCCTCAAATGTCTCACAACACACCTAGGATAAATGTGACTCTTGAGAGAGAATTTCCATGCACTTAAACACCTCCATGAACTCCAAGAACTAGAAGTTGTGTTTTTAGGTTATGGAGCACATATTTATATGTAGGATTCCAAGGGTTATGGGTATAACCCAAATCCATACCCATGGGTTTAGGATTCATGGTTCATGTGGCCCAACTCTTTATGTATCTATACATAAATGTAGTCCAATATAGATCATAAGCCCAACACATATAAATATAACCAATTGCCATAATTAGTCTCCATAGATTTAATTAGTCTCTATTGATCACTAAATTAATTCCAAACTAATTCTTCATCAATACCAATTAAATCTTATGATTTCATATTAATATATTAGAAATTATAATATATTAATAAATCATATATTAACATCTTCTCAAAAGTCCATCCTAACAACTTGTCCTGATGATATGCAACTTAAATGGACCATGCTACTCTCGGGTCGAGTACATACCAATAATAGTTATGGGCTTAAGCATTTATTCCAACACACGTTGCGCAGAAACACCTATATAGTTGAAGTATTTACAAATATATGTTTTTTTAATATAACAATAACATTGTTGTTAAATTTGATATAATAATTTGTATACTTAGTTGATATAATATATTGATTATTTTGAATTATATGATAATATATATATCTATTATAACTGCATAATCTCTATCGTTTGAATGACTTCTACCCGCGTGTTACACATGAACAAAATTAAATATAATATATGGTTTAATGTTAATTATAATTGTTATTATTATTAATTATTTTTTTAATTTATCTGATTAATATTTTAATTTCTATCATTATAATTATTTAAAACATCAAACATTGTTTTTTGATTTTAAAGGTAACAATATAATCATTTATTTTTAACTATTGTTGTTGTAAGTTATTTTAAACTACATATTTAAAAACTTTTAACTATTCTAAAAATATTTTTAGGAAATATTTTAGTTAAATAGAGACTACAATCTAGGTTTTTTATTTATCACTTTTAACTATTTACAAAATATTCTTTGGTTTTTTAAGTGGAACTAAAAATTATATTTAAATTAACACTGTAATGTTATATTTAAATTAACAATTTAAGTATTTTGTCAACATTATTCAAAAGTTGTAGCTTTAAACTAATAATGGTTTACACACAACACATTTTAAATCCAATAAATTAAATATGATATGTTAAAAGTTAATGACACAACTTTATAATTAGAAGTAAATATATTATTTTAAAATTGAAATTTAGTTTATTTATGATTACACTTTAGGTTTGATATTTATTTAACCTTATTAACCAACTTATAATCATTATTAAAAAGAAACTACAATCTATAAATTTTAACTATTTACAAAATATTTTTTGGGTTGTTTAAGGTAAACTAAAATTTATATTTAAGTTGACCCTGTAATGCTATATTTAAATTAAAATTTTAGTATTTTATACAAATTGTTCCAAAATTGTATCTTTAAAATGATAATGGTTTACATCTAATAATATAATAAAAGTAATAAAATAAGTATAATATGTTAAAAGTTAAAATACATAACTTTATAAGTAGAAGTAAAGATATTATTTTAATTTTGAAATTTAGTTTCTATATGATTACACTTTAGGTTTGAAATTTATTTAATCTTATTAACCAACTTATAATTATTGTTATAAAGAAATTGAAAATTCATAGGAGTTTCAAATGAATGTGGCGAAAGGAAAAATGCATGAGAGTTTCAAATAAATGTGGTGAAAGGAAAAATATTTCCTTTATAAGTATACTAGGCGAATATCCGCGCGTTGTGCATAATAGAATTAAAACTTTTGGTAATCTTATGTTATTGATAATATTTATATCATTTATATTAACTATAAAATAATAATAATTATATTTAGTTTATATAAAATTATAATTAATTTGAACAATAGATAAAATAACACTTATTAAAATCAAAACATTTAATGGCCTCTACTCATGTTTTACGTGTGGGTATAATATTAGTTATATTTATCAACTATTTTAATTTACTACTGTTATGATTTATTAATTTAAAAAAAATTGATGATGTTTTAATTTCATCATGATGATTATTTAAATTATCAACAAGTGTTTCTAATCTAAAATAATTTAATTTCTAAGTTTCTATTATTTTTAACCTTTTTATTATTTTAAATTAAGTTAAAAACAACTAAATTGAATTTTTGTTATTATAAAATATAGTTTTCAGACACCTTTTAGTTAATTCAATCCATCCATTTAAGTTCTTTTATATTTACTATATTTAATGTTTACCTTTTAACTATATATATATATATATATATATATATATATATATATATATATATATATATATATATATATATATATATATATATATATATTGAATTTTTTTAAATATTATTTGATATTTTACTTTAACTTTTAAATTTTACACTAAATTTTTAAGCTTATTTGATATATTAATGTAGGTTATTTATTTAACAATATATTGAAGTTAACAAATTAAATATATCATATTGATAAGTCACAAAATCTTCCATTTATGATAATCGTTACAACTAAAAACATTATTAAGTTAATAAATTAAGTATATTATATGGAAATATGAAGAGTTAGAAGTTTCAAATGAATATGGTAAGAAGATGGTGTAGTTTGCACTCCTATTGGGCCAGGCCCATGTGAAAAGATATGAATACCCCATCATTCTCCTTCTTACACAAGGCCTCTGTAGTAGATTCCCAATTCTTTCTCGTGTAACAAACATACGCATAAAAGATAAAACGATATAATGTTGAAAGATATTGTCTAAATGACTTGAAATCATTGTAGGAACATATATCGGTGTCACAACCTTACATCCGTGACATTCAACGACAAGTTTTGAGAACAGAGGCCGCCTTACGCCACAAGAAGCGTGAAAACTCTCTATTGGCACTCCATATTCAACAAATCGATTCAAAATGGGAGTTACACAAGGCTGAGATGAGCTTGAAGGAGAAAACATGGCAAGGCGAATTCACCTCTATTCAAGTATGTTCATCATTCTGCCATTATATATAATAATAATAATAATAATAATAATAATAATAATAAGAAAATATGTTAATTTATTTACCTACTATAACAACATAATTTTATTTATTTTTATTACAACATTGAACCTTTCTTATCAAGCCATTATATTTAGCAAAGTCTACCACTTTGTAAACTTATAACTTTTCCAAGGAATATATCATTTTTTGAAGTATTTTATTCGGTTAAAATAATGAAAATATGTTATTTAATTTGAAGTTCATCGTAGATAAAGTTTTCAATTATAGTGATGAAATATAAAAAACTGTAAGTATGGTTCTATAGACAAATAAGTGTATCATATATATTATCATTCTTGCACTTCCATAATATTTACATGAAACAAGAACCTTTTTTTTCTCTTTTTTCAGATGAGCTTAGCTACAACCCGACAAAGAATGACAAGCGAAATCATTCACTTCCCACAATACCCTAGGCGACGACACGACAATGGAAAAATGGATCTTACAATTAGACAGATACTTGATCTGCAAGAAAGCGATTTCAGTTTTCGCATGCACACTATACATAATTTTAAAAAGTGTCAAAAACAAGAGCTTAGAAAGTTGAAGGGTCGTTTCAAGTCATGGAAAAAGGAGTTTAAAGCTCGATTACAAGATATAAAGAAAACAATTAACAGACTTGATGATGCTCGTATGACAAAAAAAAATCACAAAAGATGTTGGGTGGCTTAGTTTATCCAAAATATTCAAATCATAATCACATTCTTATATACATACCGTTACAATTTAAAGAATTGAATTTTCCAATACTTTCGATATTTCCCTTTTAGACTTTTGGAATTCAAGCCCATATATTGTATATTGAATCTTTTAGTTTTGGCAAGTTTTTTTTTTCTTTTGGTTCCGGTATTGAAGTTTTGGTGGTAAGTTTAAGGTATGAAATCAATTTTAAGGATATAAATGCTTGTCTAATACTTGTTAGGTATCGTTCTTTAGTTTATTCATCGAGTCGGTCAAGAATTAAGGACTAAAACAACCATATGTCGTTGAGCACCATAATGATGCTTTGAACAAGCTGATAAACACCTAAAAATGGCTAATTTGGTTTGAATTTACTGACAATCTAGCACACACACAATGATTTCTAGCAATTTGAAACTATAATAAGACTACTAGGAGTGAGCAAAGAACACCCATGTTATTATGTCTATTTACTCTAAAAATGTTTAAAAACACAGTGGAACACCGCATCAGATTTGTGTTATTAGGATTTGGTTACAGGAACGGGAGATAACACCCAATCAAATCGTTTTCTCCTCTTTTCCCCTCTATCTCTCTCATCTTAACACCATCTTATAACATGTAATAACATAGAGAACACTTCCCATACTTAATGTTATAACATATAGTAACTTGCAATATCGTTGCACACACCCAATGGCCTAAAGAGAAAGTCGAAAATCTTCAGGACTACACGTTCAACCAAGCTATATAATAATGATTCAAAACTGAATTTCACAATTTATAGCAACCAAATAACGTAAAGAAAGAAAATAAGAAAGAGAAGAACACCAATATTTTTTAGGGAAAATTACAATAAAGTCCTTACATATTGGCATCATAATAATTTCGTCTATATATCTTTTTTTTTTTAATTCAATTAAGTCTCAAAAACAGGTAATTGTATTTAGTTTAATGAAAGACCCCAACTTTCGTGTATTTGAAAGACCCAAACTTTCATACTTCACAATATCATTACTCCAAAACATGCTACTTGTATATTCATAAAAGCAATATTTTACATTGATAAAGGGATTACAAACTATTGGATACAAACCGTCTATTACAAAGTGTTATATATTACATAACTACTGAGGATATTTTAATTTATACAAACATAAACTGAAGTAAAAAAGTACTATTACAAATTATTCTAAATCTTTCAACAGTATGTGAACATACTAGTTACTTATCACCTGCAATTGTTAAACATTAATAGGGTAAGCGGTGTCGCTCAGTGAGTTCAATAATAGATACAATATAACGTTATGCCATATATATACTTCAATGTGGCAAAAGCAAAGAAGAGTAACAAGACATATGTGAGATCATGTGACAAGGGTTCATATCAATCAAAGACTTTATTCAAAGATATACTTTTCAATTCTTGATATACATCAATAAAACTTTGGCTCAAATGGCATAGAAGACATGCAATTTCTGATTAACATCTTGTTAGATTTCAAGCTTATAATCTTGTCTAACCATTTGCCAATGCCATAGAATAGAAGTCATTCTCTTACCGAGACATGCTCTACATGGCCAGAGGCTACGTACCAGTACCAATGTGAATCTAAGTCCTTTCAGTGATCACATGGTCAAAGGTATTACAATTGCTATAAATATAGCGAATAAAATAACACGGGAAAATAACTCAGAATAATAACACTGAAAAACACATAGTACATATAACACATAACATAAAATTTTTCCTATATATTGAACTCACCTTAAGTTAATCGGGGTTAAAATTGTAATTTGGATAGCATTTCAGCTTTAAATATGACTTTCTATTTTGAAAACCGGGAGCTTAATTGACAACCGAGCTCTGCGAAGGTAGGGCATCAAAACCGAAAATATAATATTATCGGGCTTCTCGGGGGTCTCGAGGCGTGTTTCGGGTGCTAAAATTGATACCGGGGCTTCTGGGAAAGTCAAAATAGTGAATATATGAAGTTAGGGTGAAAAAGTGTCAATTTTTCAAAGTTACCCGGGAAGGTTCGCAGCCTCTTTTTATATAGAGTGAGAAGGTTAGGACCTAGTGGCTGGGAAGTATCCACGTCACACCTACGAGGTTCGGTCCGGAAGGGGGTGACAAAGCAGATGCGAAGCAGCTCGGTGGCAGCAGCTGCGAAGGGCACGAGGCAGGAGAAGCAAAGGCCACGAGGCCGCTGCGAGGCTCGGATGTGGAAGCGACGAAGCAGCTCGGTGGCATCAGCAGCGAGGGACACGAAAGGGGAACATGTCTCCGGCTTGTACACATGGCGCTGCGAGGCGAGGCCACGACTCCGGTGATGCACCTGCTTCGTATGAGGTAACGTGGTCGGTACTGTTCATGCGAAATTCCTCGGTTTTCGGGTCCCGAACTTCTAAAATCCATAACATTCGCATAGGAGCTCCATTTTTGACGTTCTTTATATGCACGCGTAGTTAAAATTACGCTCTACAACTTTCTTTTAGACTTCGTCGGCTAGTTTTGAGTTTATTTTTATTATTATTATTTTTAACAGACCGAGATAGGAAAATCGTTAAAAATTCATAACTTCTTCATCCGACATCCGTTTTCATCAGACTTTTTTACCGTTGTACTACAAATAACGAGACCTTCGATTCTCATTTAGGATGTATCGCTCAAATATCGCTCGATCTAAAATTCGAGTTTTTAGCTGTCTACTACCAAATTGAAACTTTAAAAAATCATAACTTCCTCATACGAAGTCAGATTTTGGCGTTCTTTTTATCGAATTTCTCGGTTTGCAGAATACTACGAATTTCATTTAGATTACTAAGGCTAAAAAAATAGTTTATCAAAAACTCACTTTTTACGTCATTCGGTGCCTTGCCGGTTTTGTCGCGGATCTTCGGTTGGTCATAACTTCTTCTTTATAACTCGGATTTCGACGAGGTTTTCGCCTACAAGTTTCTAACAAGATTCTCTACAACATCAAATAATAAAATTTTATATTTTCACTAAACTTCACTATTTGGCTTTTAATTGGAATCTCATAAGACTTTCAATATTTTCTGAGTGATTCTAAACATAGTTTTACTTCGTTTCTAGTAAAAACCATCTGTTAGAACTCAACACTCAATTTCACATAATATTTCAAAAATTTATTCATTACAAAACACGATTTCAACACGTGTATGTTACAAATACCTCCTCCTTTTGAGGATTTCATCCCCGAAATTACATCGATTAAAATAAGTGGGGATATTTTTCTTTTATCTCATTCTTATTCTCCCAAGTATAGTTTGGGCCTCGATGATGTTTATACTTGACAAGCACCGATTCTACTTCTTTATTGCATAGCTTAGTTGTTCTTTCATTCATGATTTCTTCAGGCTCTACAACATATCTTAACTTATTATCCAATTTCACCTCGGATAATGGAACCGTCTTATCATAGATGCTCAAGCATTTGCGAAGATAATTTACATGAAACACATCATGAATACCTGCCAAATGTTCAGGCAATTCCAAGCAGTATGCTTGCTTACCAACCGTTCTTTCTTCCAAAGTAGTATAACACCTTTTCATGAAATACCTCCAGTATTACTAAATCATCCACCCGGAATTCTACGGGTCGTCTCCTCTTTTCTTCATAGGAAATTTATCGATCCTGGGCCGCTTTCATTCTTTCTCGGAAAATTTGTATCTTGTCAGTGATGTCTTGAATCATTTTAGATCCTCCAAAGATCTTCCGTCTTACGTCACGCTAGCATATTTGAGTATGACATTTATGCTCATACTTACCCTGAATTATATTGATAAAATGTGTGACTAGCTAGGAACATTAAGGCACACAAAGGACTCATACATGGAATCAAAATTTTGTTATTTTGAGTAATATTTGATCCAATTTTCATGAATATTATTTGTATAAAAAAAGAAAATGAATAAGAATTAATATCGACCCCCTTGTTCAAAGGACTTAATTAGATAGTAAAGCCTACATTTGGCTATCATCATAACTAATAATCTCTATTTCTTTTTTATGAGAGAATAACTTAATGGCAAAAAGATTATGGTTTGGAATTGAAGTTAATCTTGTGGATCATTTTAAAGCTCAACAATAAAGGATAATGGAGTTATGAAGGAAGCATAACAAAAATATACATCATTAAATGTAAGTAAGTTAAATGGATACCTATTGAATCATAACTTCTTTTGCAACCAAACACAAGTTATTAAGTGATGAAGAATAAGTATGAACAAAGAGATATGAATGATAAGGAGACTTGTATTTCATTTGATAAGATTACAAGGAAGATGGAAATCAAACATACGTTCAAATGTTTATAATAGTGTCTATTTATAGGAAAAATAGTACAATTTTCTAAATAAGGTATTACAAAAAAAATTCTTGATCTAGATTGCCATGCTTCCCATGCTTCGGATTGGCAAGCCCAACCTAACACACAACGTCATAAAAGGTGATCATTACTTTCTAACACTATAGTATCTGTAACAGAAAAAAGCTTTACTACTCTTCACATCTCCTTATCTTTGGTCTTCAAGTCTTTAGTCAATAATACAAAATCAACTATTTTCTATCAATTCTCTTATAGAACTCTTCGCTACTCAAATACGGCCTTCGCTTCCAGATACACTTCGTAGCTTCTGAGGGTCACTTTCATATATCAACACTTTTTGAACATAATTATTAATGATTTAAAGGATGCTAAATAGATCGAACAATAAAAAGAAATATCATTGTTAAATATTTGAGTAAATTACACAAGTGGTTTTTAATCTAGGGAAATTAAGCGTTTTAGCGGGGTCGTGAGGTAATAGAAAGCCCGATAGAAAAAAGTGTTCGGAGTCGACGTTCTGCCGACAACTTCCTGACTTTTCATTATAATCTCTGTAAGTTAAGTTGCACTTATTATGACCTATGTGTGACTTATTTTTATATTCATAGACATTTTTATGAATTTATAAATAAGAT